ATGCAAATGTGGGCTCCATCCTATCTTCTTTCCAGTTTTGAGGTAATGGTCTATGCTGAACAGGATACAATAGAACAGAGATAATGGTTGTTTGAAAGATGCTCCTTTTCATGTTGTCTGTAAGTCCAGACCTCCACACTAAAGAATTTGTCAACAAGACCACAGACATTATCAACGTATGTATTTACATTGCTTTTGGAGCTACAGATTTTACTCTATAGATATGTAAATTCGTCTACACAGTTGAGAGTTATGCCAGATACTGTTTTGATTGTTCCATTTTGATTTAAGATTAGGTATTCTATTTTGTCTGAGTTAACATTAAGATTTTAACAGGAGAGAGCTATGGAAGAAATGTTTATTCTCCCATTTATATTTCCCCATTACAGGCATTATTATATCCATGATATAATAAAACCATAGTTTACAGATGGAACAGAATAGCTGAAAGGAAAGGAATGATAAACATGCTTTGTCCTCAGAGAGACTTTTATACCACTAAGACATACACAAAACTACACATACATTTTTACATGTGTCCCATGTAGAGGACAATATATTTACACAGCAAGCAGAGTGTAAGGAGAAAGAAAAAGGAAAGGTCTTACATATAATATGGACATACTTTTATGTTTCTGAAGATGCCATGTTTAGAATACCAGATTCAAATGGGCCAGATTCATATACTACGCCCCAAGCAAGGACATATTCCATGAAGGGCAAATACTGAGTCTTGGGTTTTCCCAAATTGAGGACTGCTAGCCAAAGATTTCTACATATGGTGAAGATATATTCTCAAAGGAAAATGACACCATTGACTTGTAAACTGTAACATTAGCTGGAGGAGGCAGATTTAGCCATATCCCAGGCTCTTTGGCCAAGGCTAAAAAAAGCAACAGCTTGGTTTTGCTGCTGTAAACAAACTGAATGACTGGCCACTCTCATCACTGTATGAAGTGATGTCACTAAACAGCCATCATGTAACCCATGTGACTATCTTGACCAAAGGGAGATAATCACCTTTTGTATCTCAACAAGACCGATACTTTTGGTTGAATGTTCAAGACTATGGAGAAGGATTTCTGCTTGGCTTATTAGATCGGAAAGTATCAGTAATCTTCATCTGTGACATTTGTGGCAGGATATCTATTACTCCATTGTGAAGATACAGGGTTTGATGGATAAATTGTCATCTAAATTATGCAAAAATGAAAATAACACTGATATCTCATTTTAACAGATATATTTACCAAAATTATACAAAAATATCTTGAAATACTAAAGAGTAAATTTATTCAATAAAATTGCCATTAGCTTTGACCACAACACCCAGATGACTTCAAAATCTCCTGCAACTCTTCTTGACAGTCTCCTTGTTTAAGTTGGTGAATGCTTCCATAATCCTTGCCTTCAGTTCATCTTTGGTGTTACAAGGAGTTTTGTTGGTCTTTGGCTCAACTGTGCCCCACACATAATAATAAAGGGGGTTGCAGTCTGGGGAGTTAGGTGGCCAGATGTAAGAGGTGATGTGGTCCCAGAAATTGTCTAACAGCCATGACTGTGTGGCATTGTGCAGAGTCCTGTTGCCTGACATAGGGTATTTCAGCATCCACCCTCTTGACCTGGGGCAGCACTACCTCCTCAAGGCACTTGATGTAGACATCCGTGTTGAGTCTGAGGCCCTCACCAACAAATTTGGGAGTTCTTTTCTTATCAGAACAATCAGAGTAAGTTTTCTGTTCTGCTGTATCTTTGTAATCATCATTAGACTCATCCAACTCTTTCTGAATCCACTGCACTATCCTCAGACTGACACCAAAACACTCTGAAATGTTTGAATTGGAGCTTCTGATGTGAATGCCAAGCAGTACAATATGCCATTTCCAAATTTCTGGCATAGTGAATTGCATCACAGTCCACTTTTTCTCACAGAGGGTGCCCAACTGACCCTACTATACTGTGCAGTCACCAAAATCAAAATCTAACAACATGCATGTGCGAAATTAAAAATATAAAATGGCAACAATTTGCCCATCGTACCATGTAGTGTGAATTCATTGACTTTAATGGTATTGACAGAAGTTATGAGAAGATGTCCATATAAATGATGAAGATATAAGGTACTAAAGTGTCACCCTGAGGTACTCCTGCAACAATTTCAAATAAATCACTATCTGGAGATTGTACTATTAGTATCGTGGTATCTACCACACAGAGTTTAGCGACTCTTTTGTATTAGGAAGAATAACGTGTTTTAGCCTTCCAGTAGCACACCGATACTAATATTAACATTAGTGTAGCCATTGATACACTAACACTGAATACGAACATAGAAAGACGAAATACGCGAGTGTAACAAACAAAACATTTAATAAGGCAAACAACCTATGTACATATAATCAAAAGATTTACATATGTCTCAAAACAAATGATTGTCCATATTGTCCCAAAGGAACGAGGAGGTTTACAGAATGAGAACAAAGAAATAACATATGAGCTATATGGCCTTTGATTATCCACAGATAAGTGAATAGAAAGTGAAAATACGTTTTTCTTTCGCTAGGCCATGCACATGTTGACCAGTTTCCATGTGTGTGGACACCCTGGTGGTCAGGAAGGTAAAGAGGCCATTCCTCCAAGATCGGAAGCAAAGACAAAAAAGGACAGATAAGTTCTACTCTCTAAAAGAGGCCAAAGAGCTCAACCCAAGGGAAAACAACAGTGGTCTCCCTACAGTACCATTGAGTATGTGTTTTTGTAGAGCAGTGATTCTCATCTGCTGTGCCATGAAATCCTCTTAAGTGTGCCACAAAATATTGTCATGACATACATATATATGCATGTGACGAAGTAGTAATGGTACAACGCTAGTGTTTGAATAAGTATTAAACTTTTTTTCAAAATAATTCTTTTTGCTACTTTTTGATTATATAATATTAAATACTTTGTTTTAATATTCATTTTTAAAAAGTATTTTTATTTTTTTAATTTAAATTTTTTTTAAAACCATTTAACCATTTCTAGTGATCGAGGGCCCAAAATAAGACATTTGGTGGTACCCACTGATTGACACATTTTGGATTTCCACATATAAAGAATATTCCACATTAGCTAAAAAGGCTTTATCAGATTTATTGCAATTTTCTACTTCTTATTTATGCAAATTAGGCTTCTCAACCCTAAATAACATCAAAAAATAAGAAGTGAGAAAGACTACACTCAACTAAAGAAATTAGATTTGCACATTCGACCAAATGTTGAAAAAATTGTGAAAAAACACCAGGCACAGGTTTCACACTAAATAAGCTGCACAAATAGTTGAATAGAAACATTGAAATAAAGTAAGTTCATACTTGTGTGTGTATTTTTAACAATCTATAGTTTTATTTCCTAACATTTAAATGTCTACCCTTTAAAAAATTGTTAAGTGTGCTATGATATTGTCATTTGCTTCTAGGTATGCCATTGCTTAAAAAGTTTGAAAAATACTGGTCTAAGATGAAAGTGGAAAGATGATTTTTTGTATCTTTAAACATATTTGTAATCATAGAGACAGGTACATTTTCAGTTAAAATTTTTTTTTTTATCCCTAAGCTTTGACAATGCATTTTTGACAATGGTAAAATATTTTTGATATTTATTGCTTGATTTGGTCAAACATTTGGGTCAGTTTATGTCTGTGGGATGCAGTATTAATATGCAACATAGGAGTGTCCTCAATGACCTGTTTATCTATTCATTTCGAGGCTTTCACTGTTGCATTGTTAAAGGTGTGTCATCATTTAAAAAGGTTGAGTAAAATGGCTTTTACTGTTTCATTTGGTATACCATAGGTTAAAAGTTTTTCTTCCATTTTACATCTGTGAATCAAATCAAAGGATTTCAAGAAATTAATGAATAACAGAACAGCATTTAGATTTTTATCTTCCACACTTTTAAGAATTCAGCAAATGGTTAAATTTTGACCAGTAATTGATCGTCCTCTTTGAAAGCTATTTTCAATTTCTGGATGTGGTGCAATTAAGCAGCAGAGAGTTATAAATTTTTGCAACTATTACTATAAGTATTATTCCTTTGTAGTTTTTTTGCTACACCAAGATCTGATTTTTTGAGAAATTGAAGGTACAGCCCTTTGTCCATATTTCTATATTGTTTTGATTATATACGTCATTGCAAAACTTCAAGAGAATATAATTAAATTTCATCAAGGCCAAGTGTATTTGATTTTAACATTTTTAGAAGAGTTTCCAGTGTTGCATTTGTAAAGTCTCTATATGTGACACTGAATTTTTCTGATATTTGTATGTATCAATAAATACTCTATAACAATATTACAATATATCCATATGTCTGACAAAAATGTAAATATATATGTCGATTTCATGACAACATTATCAAGGAGGCTTACATTACACATGATAGATTCAAGTTCCATAGCTCAACATTTAAAGGAACATTCCTACTACATTCATAATTTAGAGAAATATTAATTGGCAATACAAGTATACTCCACCATGAAATTAAAAAAAAAAATTTTTCAAATCCTTGAAGCGGTCTATATCAGAAAATTACAACAATTTTTGAAATGTTTATAACAGCAATGTTTTAAAATACTTAAATTGTAATTCTTTAAAAAAATTTGCGAAAAGTAAATTAAGTTACCTCCCTTGATAACATTAATTTTTGAATCAACAGAGCATGTTATATGCGCATTTACAAAAATTTCACAACTATCTATTACATTAGTTTTTGTCTTAGCAATTCAGCCCTGAAGATGATCTTGGATGAGATTGAAACTACTTGGAAAAATAAAAGGAATGAGAAAAACTACAGTGCCTTCCTTAATGAGTTTAATGTCAACAATAAGAAATTGATCCATAAATTTGAGAGTATTAAAATAAAAATAAACATCATATGTCTAGATTATTCAATTAAAGATATGTAGATGTATATATATATTTACTTTTGTATGAACATATATATGGCTTATTGCCACCTCACATTGAAACATTAGTTCCCATACGATCATTGAAGTTCAGCAACGTTGAGTCTGGTCAGTACCTAGATAGATGATCACTTGGGAATACCGGGTGCTGTAATCTTCAATGTGTGGGTGGTGTAATGGATAACAGCTCAGAATTGTTCCAATTCCTGTTGAGTTCATTATATTCACTTACATGCAAATACCTTTGGGAAAGGTATGAATCCACCTCTCTCACCCAGCTTGGAGTTAATTAGTAAAACTTGTATCACTAAATCATTATTATCTCAAAAAAAAAAATTCTTACAATCTAAAAATATTTTCTGGCAATGGGTTGATATGCCATAAAAATGAACCAATCAAATCAAATCAAACATATATATTGCACTGTCAGTGGAGTGTAGGATGAACTGACTGCTTTCCTTGTAAAGAAGAAAGGCTCACACTCCAACAAAAGGACCCATATTCTGAATGGATGCTTGCAGAACCAAGTATAAAGCCTACCAATATTTACTTATAGACTCAACTATAAACACAATCAATTTTTGCATATATACTCAAGTATGAACATTAACAATGTTTACCTATAGACTCATGTATGAATAAGACCAATGTTCCATTATTTAACTCTTGTATAAACCCAACCAATATTCATCTATAGACTCAAAAGTATAAACCCAGCCATTATTTACTTATAATGCATGTGCAGGTGGTGTTATGGTTAGTAACTCAAAATGAGAAATCAGCAAGCTGAGTTCAAGTTTCAGTCAAGTTCATTACATCCATATTTTTCAAATACTCTTGTCAAAGGTATGAATCCATTTCTTCTTCCTATCTATGAATTAAATAATAGGACCAACTGGGCTCTTCAACTATGGTTGCCAATCAGTTAAGAAGAACAAATTTGAATTTAAAACCTGTTCGGCATGGGACTAGCAACTACACCATGTAAAAAAAACTACTATGGAAACCACAGTAGCAAAATCTAGCATGTTAAAAGTTGTGGCCCCATACTCCACAGTGGAGTCTACAGCACTTGAGTGATATTTACCTATAGACTCAAGTATAAACCCTATGTTTACATATAGACTCAAGTATAATAAAAAGACATTAAATAACTCAACAAGGGTTGATATACCATATAATCCACCAATCTAACCCAACCAATATATATATATATACATTTTACTTTCATACTGTTGACAATGTTTAACAAAAGAACCTGCAGAAAAACTGTCAAAAGGATATTTTTTTCTCTTGACACCACAATTACTGTATACTCCCATAGCAATCTTTATTGTTTTAAAAGGCTATTTTTAAAATTTTAATAAAAATAAAGCATATGAAACTGGATTTATACATTTTCTTTTTTTGTTAAATTGACAACAAAAATATTAAAAACTATTTATTAGATTATTTACAAGTATATGTAAACCAACTACAATAAAATATTTATTTACTATATTATCAAGAAATAACTATGAAAACAATTTTTTTATTCAGAAATTTATAAAAATGCCTGAACTATAGAACAAGAAAATTTAAATTAAAATAATTGTCAATTTTACAATGAACATAATAGCTAAATGACTCCCACCACATGGAAAATTAAAATAAGTAATCTGAGATATTCTAAAAATTTATTATAATAAAAAAGAAATATAAAATTATATAAAAATAATAAAAGGGTAAATAAAAAAAAATAATAGACTAGGTTTTTAAATCAAAGAAACTCATGACATCAATTTTAACTTTAGATATGTTTGAATCCCATATTCCCTCTATCTGAAAAAAACTAAATGCCTTAGGATAAAAATGATTTGCTCTACTCTAAATTGTTTTAAAAAATTCTATGAATTTTAAATAGGCATGCATAAAATATAATTAATTTGCCATTTGCATTTAACTCATTTTGCTTCTTATTCTTTATGAATTTAATAACATCTATGGTGCTGGGAGGGGAGCTTTATACCCTCCCAACATTTTGAAGAAACTAATGACTACACAGAAGTCTTTTTGGTCTCAATCTCTGATAATGTTATTGAACTGTATCTTTTGTATAAAATCATTACTACCATTAATTTTCAAAATAAATCATAAAACTTCATTAATTTCTGAAACTTCTATATTTCTTATATGCAGAAAAAAGTCTATTTCCCTTTCCAGAAAATAGGAACAAATAGCTAAAAAAAAAGTGTATCAAAAATACAAACAAAAACTTTACAGTGGGATAATAAAGTAAAAAAAACAAATCTATGTTCATTTTATGAAAATATAAGATTTAAAAATATATACATAGAATCAGGAATCTTTAGAATTTAATATCTGATTTAGTCTCCCCTCTTTTATTTTGTGGTGCCTTGTTTGATACCCTAGGACAGAAGGTAACCATTGCCAATGAGGGTTACTGAGGTATGGTTATTGCTTCTCTGATGTAAGTGGAGCTGTTTCTCCTCATTTTAGATGGGAGAAGTTGCTCAGCACCTGGGATTCCAACCCTGCAAACAAGACCTTCCTTATTCCACTAAATAGCACTCAACACATTAAAACGACCTTGTGTCGCATCCAGCCTTTGAGCGGAGGCCGGGTAAATAAACCTAGCACAGAAGTTGATGGTGGGGTCTGGCCAAAAATCTTTATTGAAGGCTCATTCCTTGAAACTCTAATCTAAAGTCGTACCATCACTTTATAAAGAGGAAGTAATGCTATAATTGATACCAGTAGTGAAAATCAGTACATTTGGGTATTTTCAATATATATCCTTTATACAAAAAAAAAAAGTCTAAAAAGTAAAAAAAAAAACCGATTATCAATTGAGAATCAAGGGAGGAAACTATAAATACCCACGTGTCTTTGTCACAGATATCGTACAGTTAATTTTAAGTTTGATAATTTCGTATTTTTTCAGAAAAATTCTATAAAACATTGTATTTTCAAATTATATGAAAATATACTAAATTTGAAGCGCGTCTCATTGTTTACAATTAAATTTTTTATTAAAATTTTCTAGTATTAGAAATTTATACGAAACTTAAAAAAACGAGTAATGATTTCCGGTGGCTGAAAGTAGACTTCCTTTTTTAGATTGAACGTATTGCACAAGAAGTAGTGTGGTGAGTATCTCTTAAAAAATCTTTAACCATCACTTTATCTAATTGCTACTTTTTTTTCATATATTTTGTATTCTTACGTTTACATGATGCATAAAATATGTGTCGTATTTATTTATTTGGTTATGTTACTATTGGTCGAATATTTATTTAAATTTTGTTGGGCTAATTCTTACAAAACGGCCATCGTTCCATGTGTAGCGTTCTTTAAATTTTGAAATTTTTTAATCTTGCGAAAATAATTTACATTCCCTTTTTTTTTTTATAGACCTAATTCTTGAAATATTTTTAATTTTACAAGATTCTTAAGTGTTAAATGGACGTGTTAATGAAATATTGCGATCAAAGTGAATTTTAGTTAACGTTTATTTCCTTGTAAAAATAAGACCTCATAATCACATACCTATTTCAATTTCATCTTTGCTTTGTGTGTACATAGAAATATCTTTTGCGACAAATATTAATTAAATGTTAGTGCAATTTTAAACATTTATTAAAACTATAAAAATATTGTAATTTTTCTTTGATTCCTGTATTTTGCAGTTTAATATTCCCAAATAATCACTTAAAGAGGATATGGGACCGTTTAAGAAATTTTTTTTTTTTAATAGTATCAATATTTTCCCCCTGCTATTTCTATTTATAGATCTTTGGTGTATTCTAGATTCTTTCGTATTAAATAGTGTGATAATCATTAAGTTTGGGGCGCTAAACTACGACATAGCCGGATAAACGGCAATTTCTTAGTTTTTACCCCCCCCCGTCTTGTTCACACGTGACTCTATCGTATATTTCATAAAAATAATCTCAACACCGTTTAAAAACACTCGTTTGAACATTTATAATATTCACATCCACACATGTCAAATTAAGATAAGAATTGTATTTTTTTTCTTTATCCAGAATTTGTATGGAAATTGAAGCTATCTGTTGTGAAAAATTATAAATTGTCCCTAATTATTTAGTTTTAAAGCAATATTTTCTGATGTAGTATACTTTGAAAAGAAATTATTACGTGGGGAAATTAACAGCCAATGTATGTGAAATTGGGCCCTTTCAGATTTTCTATTCAAATAGCTGTTCAATAATTGTCAAGTACGGCAGCTATATATATATATATATATATATATATATGTGTGTGTGTTCAACCTTTAGAACAGTTTTTTAAAACCCTAAGCCGCAAACTAACACTACAGATGAAATATGAAAAATTCACACAAATTTGCTTAAGGACATAAATAAATCGACTCCTCGCTTAGTTACTTCATTCCTTTCAATGTTAAAATATTTCTGGAAAATGATCAGCTCACTTCATAAAGCCGAAAGCGCAATAAAACACACTTCTTGTAGTTTCTGGAAATGAAGTATGAATCTTTATTTTAAAACTATTCTTTTTCCTCCTTTATTTTATCGCATTAAATTCGTATTCTTTTCAAATACTTGATTCTTTAATAATGTCACACTACCCGAAAGATTATATTCTTTATTTCTGATCTGCCATATGCCTGTCTAATGACAGAAGGAAGATTGATCTGGGAGCTGGTGATAAAAAGTAACAATATTAAAACTAAGAAGCAAGCATGTTCACTGTTTTCGCGGAAAAACAGCATAGCGTAAATGAAAAATGCCACAAACTTAAAGAAAATAAAGTATTATCGTCAAAATGCTTATGTTATTATTTAGATGAAAGAAAAAAGTATTTTTTAATTATTTTTGAAATTTTTTAATATTTTCTAACACGTTCGAAATTTTGGTTAAAATCGTCTTTGTTTACGTCATCGCGGCGACGTTTAAAATAACATTTTTTTTTTTTTTTTTTTTTTTTTTCGTTGAAAACATATTGATTTGGAAATTCTTGTAAAAATAAAATAATTGTCCTATCTTAATGAAATTTTCAGGACTTATTCACAAATCAATGAAATTATTTTTTTTTTTTTTTTTTTTAGAAAATTTTGGTAAAAATTATATTTTTTTAAAATATGTTACCCCACATTTACTTAATTTAATGA